AGCTGTGTCCAACACATAGTAGGTGCTTCATAGATATTTGTTGAAAGAATAATTGAATATATACATGTTTGAAATCAGGAGATGAAGATGGGAATTGTGAATACATTTTTAATTTATGAGCCTTTCAGTTCCTCCTTCATCGCATTCTGATTGTGTCTATTCTACTTTGTCATTTTCACCTATCTTTGTTTTCTTCCCTTATAAGTCCACACTCTTTTTAGTCCATCTTTCCTTTTATAGATTTGTAGATTTCTTCCCTCTTTTCTCTGTCTTTCTCCATGTCCCTCTGTCTCTCTCCCTCCTCACTTTCTCTCACCCTCTGTTTTTCCACAGAAAATATTGGCATGTGTTCATCTAAGTTACCATTTCATCTTAATTGATTCATTTATAGATTAAAAAAATGTTCAAAATCAATGAGTGGCATTGTGAAAGCCCAAGTGAAAATTTAGAAATATCATTATGTTTTCAAGATTTTAAACATTAAAATAACAGCTTTTCTGTATGTCCTTAAGAATAGATTTTATGGCCAATTACTTTTCATGTCTTCTATTACAATTAATTTTTGCAAACTCAGTTTTGTAAAGTGTGATTCCATCAATAAATTTCACCTTTTTCAAGTGTGTTGTTCAATGAATTTTAGAAAAGTATATAATTGTGGAACAACAACAGTCACCATATAAAACATTTACATCATCTTGAAAAGTTTCCTTGTGTCCTTTTAAATTAAATTTCTTATCCATACCCTAGACTGAGCCCCTGGAAGCTAACATGGTTTTTATCATTTAACTTTGCCTTTTCTAGGAATTCCTCTAAATGAAATCATATAATACGTATTCTTCTGAGTAAGGCTATTTTCACTTATCATATTGCTTTTATTATTCTTCTATGTAATTGTATATATATAATATATAATTTAAATATTATATATATGCATATCAAATATTTTATATATGTATATAATTATATATATATAAGTTGCATGGGCTGATTATCATAATTATATATTATAGTTATTTAATAATTATAATTATATATTATATATATAAGTTTTATGGAATTGTTGAGTGCTATTTTATTGTATGGATAAAACACAATTTGCTATATGGACATTCAACAAGCTGATGGACATTCAGTCTATTTCTAGTTTAGGAATTTTATTAATAAATCTTCTATGAATGTTTAAGATTAAAATAAGCTTTTTTTAAAATTAATATAAAACTTTAATTTCTTTCCAGGATATGAGGGTTGTTTGGCGTCACTGGGTTTCCCAGGTGGTGATAGTGGTAAAGAAACCACCTGCCATTGCAGAATATGTAAGAGATGCAGGTTCGATCCCTAGGTCGGGAAGATCCCCTGGAAGAGGAAATTGTAACCCACTCCAGTATTCTTGCCTGGAGAATTCCATGGACAAAAGAGCTTGGCAAGCTACAGTCCATGGGGTCACACAGAGTCGGACACAATTGAAGCAACTTGTCATGCACGCATACATGGCATTGTTACAGAGTAATATGATGTTTTTGCTTAAATTTGTGAAAAAGTTGTCAGATTTTCCAAAGTAGCTGAACTGTTTTACATTCCTATAAGCAATTTATGAGACTTTCTGTTGAATTGTAACCTTGTCAATTGTTAGCAACGTTAAACTTCTGATGTGATTTTTGGTATCTCATTGGTTTTATCTTACATTGCCCTAATGAGCATTTTTTATTTTTTAATTTCAGTCAGTTCAGTTCAGTTCAGTCGCTCAGTCGTGTCCAGCTCTTTGAGACCCCATGAACTGCAGCACGCCAGGCCTCCCTGTCCATCGCCAACTCCCATAGTTTACTCAAACTCATGTCCATCGAGTTGGTGATGCCATCCAGCCATCTCATCCTCTGTCGTCCCCTTCTCCTCCTGCCCCCAATCCCTCCCAGCATTAGGGTCTTTTCCAATGAATCAACTCTTCGCATGAGGTGCCTGAAGTATTGGAGTTTCAGCTTCAGCATCAGTCTTTCCAATGAACACCCAGGACTGATCTCCTTTAGGATGGACTGGTTGGATCTCCTTGCAGTCCAAGGGACTCTCAAGAGTCTTCTCCAACACCACAGTTCAAAAGCATCAATTCTTCGGTGCTCAGCTTTCTTCACAGTCCAACTCTCACATCCATACATGACCACTGGAAAAACCATAGCCTAGACCAGACGGACCTTCCTTGAAATTTATAAAACTTATTTGTGGGAGTGTGTATTACCGTTCCTGTTCGTGAAGCCAGTTGTCTTGCTGTTCACACTGTCTGTACTGTTCCTTGAACCAGGGCAGGCAAGGCACAAGCTAAAAAGCTGGAAAGGGACTCCAGGAGCCAAAGAAAGGGCAGACATGTTCATTCTCTCCTGGCTGGCACAGCAGCCATAACAGTCTCTCTCTTGGCTGATGCAGCAGCCATAGCAGCAGCCTCAACATAGCCATAACAGAGCCTTAACATAACCTCATATGATGAAACCATTGTGCTGCTCCAGTATAGCCCCACTACAGCGGCAGCCAGGGCTTTCATGGTGAAGCTCATACAGGCATTCCTCACAAAGTAGCCCATGACCAAACGACTACTTCATCGTGCACATGTACAGTGCTACAAGTGGTTTCAGCTGTTACACACTCATTCTTTGCAAAATGTGGGGCGAGAGAGTCTGAACATGCCATTGTGGCTAATTTGCTCTCTCCCTCAGAGTGTCTAATCAAATATTTTATCCAGTTTTTAATTAGAGTTTTTATCTTATTACTAGGACTTCCCTGGGGACTCGAGACAGTAAAATAATTTGCCTGCATTGTAGGAGACCAGTGTTCAATCCCTGGGTCAGAAAGATCTAAGCTTTAAGAATTCTTATTACAGTCTGGTGCAATTATTTGTCAGATTTGTTTCGCTAATATGTTCTTGTGCTTGGTTCCTTGCCTTTTATTTTCTTAAAAGTGCCTTTCAGTAAGCAGCTTATATTATCACAGTTTTGAAGTATAGAATCTAATTAGGTGCGAGCCATTCAGTTCCCAGGTGGATTTGTTCTGGCATGTAGGTAGGCACCTCTTCTTGTGTGCACATGGGGTGGAGAAAGAGAACACAGCCACATTTAACCTTAATTTTCTGCACAATGGTCCTATCTCCAAATACAGTCACACTGCAGGTTGAAGCTGCAACACACAGATTTTGAGGAGACATGAACTTTCAGTACATAAGAATGACTATGTAAAATTGATATTATTTCCCCTTAAATATTTGGTAATTTTTGCCAGTTAACTAACCTGGATCTGTTTCTATCGAATAATATATCTCCTGCTTATGGATTATATTCCTTCCACATCTCTGAATGTTTAGTATTTTTTCATTAGATATCAGAAATTATTAATGTCAGAAATTAGATTTTATTGTTTTACTACTAAATTTTGTTTTATTATTTTAAGTATAAATATATATTGTTATGGGGCATTGGTGGTTCAGTGGTAAAATTCTCACCTCCCACATGAGAGACCAGGGTTCGATTCCCAGCCAGTGAATCATGCTGGCATTTGTTTTGGGCTTCCCTGGTGTCTCAGATGGTAAAGAATCTGCCTGCAATACAGGAGACCCAGGTTTGATCCTTGGGTTGGGAAGATCCCCTGGAGGAGGAACTGGCAACCCACTCCAGTATTCTTGACTGGAGGATCCCATGGACAGGGGAGCCTGGTGGCCTACAGTCCAAGGGGTTGCAAAGAGTTGGACATGACTGAGCAACTAACACACACATATATTGTTCTGGCCCAATGTTTTTTTATTTAAAATCAGTTAAATAATTTTAAACCTTGGCTTAAAGTTTTTCAGTTCAGTCCCTCAGTCGTATCTGACTCTTTGTGACCCCATGAACTGCAGCACGCCAGGCCTCCCTGTCCATCACCAACTCCCAGAGTCCACCCAAACACATTTCCATTGAGTCGGTGATGCCATACAACCATCTCATCCCCTGTCGTCCCCTTCTCCTCCTGCCCTCAGTCTTCCCCATCATCAGGGTCTTTTCAGATGAGTCAGCTCTTTGCATCAGGTGGCCAAAGTATTGGAGTTTCAGCTTCAAAATCAGTTTTTAAGTTGTGTAAAAACAGCCTTCAGGCTAGTACTGATTTATTCCAACTACTGGGCAAATATTCTTAGGATTCTACCTTGGGCTGTGTAGCCTACAAAGTCTACTCTGGCTGCTGGGAACACAAACTCTTCTTTTGTGAGCTCCAGGAATAATGTGGTTTACTGCTTACAGTAGCTTTTTCCCCTCCTTCTATAAGTGGTAGTTTCTTGTCATAGATGTGTGTGTCAGTACTGTGCCAAAGGCTTGATGCCAAAGACTTTTTTTTTTTAGATATGTAGAGTTCGTTCCGTGTGCTAACTCCTTTCCAGTTCTCTGTTTTGTAAAAAGCCCCTTCATTCTCTCTGAACTGTCTTAATTCAGTTAGATTCCCTGGCACTCTTTGGATTCCCCTTCTGCCAAAAATTGGGGTCACTAAACTTCGAACTTTAGTATTTAAACATTTTAAAACAAAATTTCTTCTCATTGCATCATAATCACAGAGTAATATTTATCATGTTCTGTGAAATTGTTTACCTTCGACTTAATGCCAAGATACGGCTACTTTTCTACACGTCTAAAATGAGTACCTCTAGCTAAATCAGTCAGTCAGAGACTGTTCTTTTCTCTTTTGGCCTCTCTACGAGAAACCTCATTCTCAGCATTTTTTAAACTAGAGTCAGTTTCCTCTAGGGTCTGCATTTGGGGTCCATATTCTCTGCTTTGCACCCTGGAAACTGTTAACAGGTTATAAGGTAGACAAGTCATCTCTCTTCTCTCAAGGACCACATCTTATGCTGCCTTCTGCCCAGTGTCTTAAAACTGATGTTTTTCATATTGTTTTCAGTGTTCCATTTTTTTTTCTCATTGCCTCTTTGTTCAGATCTTTATTCAAAATTGGCTGTCCAAAATGATTTGGCATTTATGGAATAAACAAATTTAAGTTTATGCAGCAGCCTTCTTTTCCTCTGAGGTGGGTTTCTTTTCTGTGGCCTTCTTCTCAGCTGCTGGTTTCTTGGTACCTGCAGCCTTTTTTTCCACCACAGGCTTCTTCAGCTTCTTATCGCCAACATCCTTCTTTTCTTTGTTTCCCACCACAGGCTTCTTGCCCTCAACCCCCTTCTGATCTGATTTGGCTTCTAGTGCTGCTGCTGCCTTATCCATGTGGATTTTGTGGTTCGTGGCCTGTCGAAGAATGGTGTTCCGGCGCATGGTCTTTGCGTATGGGTTAAGCTTCAACATGATCCTCAGGTTTTTCAGTGGATTCTTCTTCAGGACTCTGCGATGAATCTTCTTGCATGGTGCTCGGAGTGCTCTTTGGATTTCTGGGCTTTTCAAGATTCTGCTAAGGTCTGTATTAAGCATCTTGTGCATGGGGAGGTTGTAGTTACTCTTGAGGGAGGCTGCTTTATGCCAAGTGCCGTACAGCTCATCTAACTTTCAGAAAGCACTTTCAGTCCAAATGCAGAAACATCCCACATGACCACCAGGAGCAAGTTTCAAAATATTCCGCTTGCTTACATTAGGCAGAGTAATTCCAGGGATGTTTCTGAAGGCCTTGATGATACCATTGTCTTCATTATAGATGATGCAGGGTCCCCTGCGCTGGATATGGCGACAATTTCTCATTTTGCCTTTGCCAGCTCTCATTCGCTGAGAAGCATAAACCTTTTTGATATCATTCCAGACCTTAAGTTTCTTCAGAAGCAAAACAGCCTCCTTGGTCTTCTTGTAGCCTTCAACTTTATCTTCAACCACCAAAGGAAGTTCAGGAACTTCCTCTATACGATGACGTTTAGACATGACCAGGGCTGGTAAGGCTGAGGCAGCCAGTGCAGAGCAGATGGCATATCGCCTCTGCGTTGTATTCACTCTGCGGTGCCAATGTCACCAGGTCTTGGTGATGCAAACATGCGGCCCCCACGACACATATTTCCAAAAGCACCCTGACCAGAATGGTGAGTCCTGCCACCTCAAACCCTGGGAATTCGAGCCACAGCTCTGCCGGTACCCCAAGACTCAGCACTGGTTTGAAGACCTGCTAATTCACTGACAGCATAGGGCTGTCTGTTGTTTTTGTTAACAAAGTTAACAATATCAGGTCGAATGGGAGCCTTGAAAACAGCAGGCAAAGTGACATTTTTGCCAGAGGACTCCCCCTTTTCAGAGTACGCTGATATCAGTGGACGAGCACACGCCATGGCGGGGAGAGGAGAAGGCCACGCTCCTCTCAACCCGGCCCAGTGTTCCATTTTTTAAGGTGGAGGTGGGTTCCAGTCCAAGTCCTATTAATTCATTGTAGGAAGAGATGAAGTCATTATTTACTGTATTGTTGATATTAATTAAATTAGATATAAAATATTTTAATTTAAAGATATGTAGGAAAGGGAACTAAAGAAAAAGAGAAAGGCTGTATTGCTATTAGCAGCATTTATTTAATAATAAAAAAAACACTATTCTTGTCTGGGTGAGAAGTTTGGGAAAGTACATAGTAGATCCAATATTTTAAAGCAGAAAAAAATGTTTATCTTTGTTTCTTCCACCATATAACAGGGACTCAGTAAATAAAGATAAAGTAAATAATTGAGAGAATCTGAAAGCTGGCTTTAGCAATTTATTAAATTGATATCAGTCAGTTGATTCCTCCCATATCTTTATTTGTCAATATTGATACTATAACTGCTTTTTACAACTCAAAAAAAAAAAAAAAAAGCACTTCACAAACTGTTTATCTGAGTCCAAGCTAGTACTATTCACTATGCTTGTGCTCAGCTGCTTTATTCATGTATGACTCTTTGTGACCCTATGGGCTGGAGTTCGCCAAGTTCCTCTGTCCATGGGATCCTCCAGGCAAGAACACTGGAATGGATTGCTATGCTTTCCTCCAGGAGATCTTCCCCACCAATGGATTGAATCAGCATCTCCTGCTGGAGGCAGATTCTTTACCCACTGAAGCCCCACTATACAATAGGCCAATAAATTTAAGAGATGGGTTGCTGGTGCAAGGAATAGAGACTTTATTCACAAAGTCAGCAGAATGAGAAGATGGTGCACTGGTGTCCCAAAGAAGCATCTTGCCTGAGTTACAATCAGGTTTCTTTTATACTAAAAGGGGAGTCGGTAAAGTCTTTGTTCTACAGTGTGTTAATTTCTTCCTTCCTGCAGTGATTTGCAGGTGGGCCTTGTCAGGAAGTTTCCTGTGAGAGGAACAAAGGTATTTTAACTTAATGCTTGTTACATGGAAGGCAGGGCTCCCAGAGATGGGCCACTTTATATAATTTAAGCTTATATGTAACACCCCTTTTGGTGATTAATTTGTAGCCAGAGCAATAGAATACAAAGGTTAAAGTGAAAGGAGCAGATCCAATATGGAATCAGATTTTGCTTTTCTCTATGGGAATATTGCATCCAAAGATGTTATACAGATAGTTCTTGAGGATTGTTTACAATAAGGCACCCAAGCACCATGGGAGCACAGTAGAAGGAAGTACCATGTTTCATTTCTTAGGTTTTATTTTTTCATGTTATGAAAATATTAAGTACACAACACACACATACACACAAAAAAACTCAAAGAAAAATAATAAATAAAAATCAACTAAAAATTGCCCACAACAGCAAAACAAAGATAACTTAAAAAAAATTAATTTATTTATTTTAATTGGAGGCTAATTACTTTATAATAGTGTAGTGGGTTTTGCCATACATTGGCATGAATCAGCCACGGGTGTACATGTGTCCCCCATCTTGAACCCACCTCCCTCCTCAATCCATCCCTCAGGGTCATTCCAGTGCACCAGCCCTGAGTGTCCTGCCTCATCATTGAACATTTCACATATGATGATATACATGTTTCAATGCTGTTCTCTCAAATCATCCCACACTCACCTTCTCCCACAGAGTCCAAAAATCTATTCTTTATATATGTGTCTCTTTTATTGTCTCGCATATTGGGTCATCATTACCATCTTTCTAAATTTCATATATATGTGTTAATTCCTTATATATGTGCATTGGTGTTTTTCTTTCTGACTTGCTTCACTCTGTATAATAGGCCCCAGTTTCATCCACCTCATTAGAACTGATTCAAATGTGTTCATTTTAATAGCTGAGTAACATTCCATTGTGTATATGTACCACAGCTTTCTTATCCATTCATCTGCCAGTGGACATCTAGGTTGCTTCCGTGTCCTAGCTATTGTAAATAGTGCTGCGATGAACATTGGGGTACACATGTCTCTTTCAATTCTGGTTTCCTCAGTGTGTATGCCAAGCAGTGGGATTGCTGGGTCATATGGCAGTTCTATTTCCAGTTTTTTAAGGAGCCTCCACACATAGTGGCTGTACTAGTTTGCATGCCCACCAACAGTATAAGAGGGTTCCCTTTTCTCCACACCCTCTCCAGCATTTATTGTTTGTAGACTTTTTGAAGGTGGGAGGAGAAGGGGATGACAGAGGATGAAATGGCTGAATGGCATCACCAACTAAATGGATAAGAGCTTGAGTAAGCTCCGGGAGTTGGTGATGGACAGGGAAGCCTGGTGTGCTGCAGTCCATGGGGTCACAGAGAGTCAGACATGACTGAGAGACTGAACTATTCTAACTGGCATGAGATGGTACCTCACTGTGGTTTTGATTAGTATTTCTCTGATAATGAGTGATGTCGAGCATCTTTTCGTGTGTTTGTTAGCCATCTGTATGTCTTCTTTGGAGAAATGTCTGTTTAGTTCTTTGGCCCATTTTTTGATTGGGTCGTTTATTTTTCTGGTATTGAGCTGCATGTGCTGCTTGTATATTTTTGAGATTAATTCTTTGTCAGTTGCTTCATTTGCTATTATTTTCTCCCATTCTGAAGGCTGTCTTTTCACCTTGCTTATAGTTTCCTTCCTTGTGCAAAAACTTTTCAGTTTAATTAGGTCCCATTTGTTTAGAGGATCCTGCTGTGATTTATGTCAGAGAGTGTTTTGCCTACTTTTTCCTTTAGGGGTTTTATAGTTTCTCGTCTTACATTTAGATCTTTAATCCATTTTGAGTTTATTTTTGTGTATGAAGTTAGAAAGTGTTCTAGTTTCATTCTTTTACAAGAGGTTGACCAGTTTTCTTAGCACCACTTGTTAGATATTGTCTTTTCTCCACTGTATATTCTTGCCTCCTTTGTCAAAGATAAGGTGTCTATACGTGCATGGATTTATCTATCTCTGGGCTTTCTATTTTGTTCCATTGATCTATATTCCTGTCTTTGTGCCAGTACTATACTATCTAGTACTGTAGATAGTACTGTACTGTAGACTGTAGTTTTGTAGTATAATCTGAAGTCAGGCAGCTTGATTCTTCCAGTTCCATTCTTCTTTCTCAATTGCTTTGGTTGTTCAAGGTTTTTCGTATTTCCACACAAATTGTAAAATTATTTGTTCTAGTTCTGTGAAAAATACCGTTGGTAGCTTAATAGGGATTGCATTGACTATAGATTGCTTTGAGTAGTATACTCATTTTCACTATATTGATTCTTCTGATCCATGCACATAGTATATTTTTCCATCCATTTGTGTCATCTTTGATTTCTTTCATCAGTGTTTTATAGTTTTCTATATATAGGTATTTTAAAACAAAGATAACTTTACTATCATGTTGGTATATGTACTTGATGCGCTTCACTGGTGATTCAGATGGTAAATAATCTAACTGCACTGCAGGAAACACAGGTTTCATCCTTGGGTCGGGAAGATCCCCTGGAGAATGGAATGGCTATCAACTCCAGTATTCTTACCTGGAGAATCCCATGAACAGAGGAGCCTGGCAGACTAGAGTCTATGATGTTGCAAAGGGTTGAACACGACTGAGCAACTAAGCACACACATACTACAAAACCAGAGGGAAGTAAAAATGTCTTCAACTTGGGACTGGATTGATCCACTCAAACAATCAGTTCTTTTGCATTCCTCTAGCTTTCTTTACATACATATATTGGAGGGCATGCATGCTCTGGCATAACTGGCCTGAAAGTGCCCAATCTGAAAAATTTAGATGCATTCACATTTTAAATGTATTTGCATAATTTCAAATTATTAATCCTTGTTTTCTAAGATAAAAAATGAAAACCTAATTGCATGGAGAGGAACTCAGGGGACACTGATAGATAAGAAATAGAAAAAATTCAGATAATTTGAAAAGGAAGAGGCATTTGAGAAAGCTAAAAAGAACTGTTTCTACTGCAATAGGGATGAAGAAAAATATTAGAATAA